AGCTGTCAGCATCAGGACTGTGCATGGCTTCCTTGACGGTAGCAGGCAGCTTGTTGTAGTTGTCGGTGGTGGTGATGTTGGCGCTGAAATGAGGATGGTCAAGGAGAAGAGGGTCAGTGTCGTCGTCGAGGTCGTCGGTAACAATAATGGTAGTGGTAGTAGTAGTGGAGGTAGTGGAGTCAGCAGAGTCAGCAGAGTCTGCAAAATCAGCAGCAGAAGTAGTGGGTTCGTCGTGGTCAAGGTCGTCAAATTGGTCGTGTTGAGGTGGTACAGTTGCATTCTCCCCTTCACCTCGAGCACGGGGAACAACTTTGACGTGGATGGTCTCGATGATAGTGTTGGTGTCAGGGCAGTAGACCTTGTGAGAGAGTGAAGTCGGCGAAAAGCCCACATAAATACCGTGGCGGGCCTTGGGACCGAGCTTGCCACCACGGCGCAGCGGGTCAAAGGCAAAAGCGTCGGCGCCAAAGGGGTGCAAGTCGCGGATGTCATGGGGCTTGATGCCGGTGAGGAGCTCATAGGCACAATAGCCATTGAGGTGCTCCTTGGGGCGGATGTTGATGAGGTACTCGGCGTGCTTGGCAGCAAGGGCCCAAAAGGATGGGTCACGGCCCGAGTCATGAAGGAGCAGGGCCATGGTATCTCGAAGTTCGCGGAAGACGGTTTCGATGGCGCCGTTCATTTCGGGAGTATAAGGCCATCGTAATAAATTAGGTGTGTGAACCTCAGAGCTGAAAGCAAAGCTGTGCAACCCCGACATCAAAATCACAACGTCACGCAAAACAACACAAGAGAACAAGCTACATTTATCGGCTTCTATCATGCCGAGGAGTACAAGCGCGAAGAACCACGCACATAGAAACAAAAATCGTACAAAACGACCAAGTATAACCAGAGATACGGCCATTTTAAACACAAGACACATAAAAAGGCAGTCACACATCACAACTACAAGCCATCACAGCACAAACACAATGAACACCACGGCACGCTCACATCCAACGAGACACAACGTCGGATTGAGAAAACAACCGACCACAGAAGACAAAGACATCATACAAAGGACCTTACAAAAATTCAGCAGAAATACCACACAAATACAGCAAAAGTTAAAGCAAAATTAAAACAAAAATACAAGTCAAGCCATAAAAAGACACAACGAGGAACCACCCTGGAGAAGAACGAGGGCCGAGTTGACGTTTTCTTTGAGGCAGTCGAGACCTTTCTTGCTGTCACCGCGATAGGACTCCCACTTGGTTGAGGTTTGGTAGGCTCGGTGCCAAACGTGGTGGGGTGGTTGAGTCCGAGAGCCGGCCCGTGGTGGCGCATTGGTGCCAAAGGCAACACCAAATTGGGATGCATCCACTGCTTCCATGGGAGAGCGCCTGGGCGTGGTGGCTCTATCGTCATGTGCGGGAGAGCTCAAATAGCCATGACGATAACGAGAGTCGTGAGAGAGCGATTCGTGCACGGGCTCTCTCGGGAGCCGGGGTAGAGGGCGATTGGAGGCCAGGCCAAACGCCACTTCGCCATCGCGGGCAGACGGGTGCGCCGCGGGCGAGGGAGCGAGCAAAGAAAAATCGGTCGCAAGGTCACGAGAAGGCGACTGGGTCTCGTGCGCGCGTAACGAACCATGTGAGCGGCCCCTGTCCGGGATGAGCCGAAGGGCAGCGTTTATCTCGCGTTCAAGCTCGGCAATCTGCGATTGGAGCTGATGTTGGGAGCCTAGAGAGTGCACTAGGGCTTGAAGGGTCCTGTGGACCTGGGCCACGGCGGCGTCATTGTTGC